AGTGGCCAGAAAACTTTTAACTAACTGCCCTCCGCGCTGGGTGCTCCAGTTAACAGAGTCCCTGAGAGGCAAAACAGAACAGTTAAGCTTTATTCAATGTAGGTTTTAATCTTGGAGTTCGGGAATTGGGGAGATTTAGTCATTTATTTTTGAGCTCATGGAAAGAAGGGGTTGATAGCAACAGCTTACCCCAGTTAGCAGGCAGGCTCCCCACACAGCTGTGCTGGCCTATTTCAATTAGGATCCTTTAGGACTTACATCACCTCTGGTATGCCAGTCCTAAGCCACTCATGAGCCAGCACTGCCAATCAAGCCAAAATTCAACCACATGGTATGGTTTTTATGATGTAGACAGAAAATGACATGCACTTGTCTCATTCTGGTAAAAACACAAAGTTTGAAGCCAGCTCTCTACAAGAAGAAAATTAGTAACAACGACAAGACTGTAAAACTTGATTTACACACATTTTCCTGTGATTATCTCAACACACTTAGCCAGTGGGTTATTCATGGTGATTCAAGGAATGCTCTCACTCAAGAAACGGCTCTGGTCCTCATGTTATGAAGAGGTCACTTCTGGGTCACTCTACTCATGAGGCCACAAAAACAGCAGAATATGCTTACTGAGAGGAGGGCACAATTAAACTTATGTAGTTGGACCTGAGAGGGTGTCATTCCTGGAAACTGAAAGATACATGAATTAAAAGCAGGGGTGTCACTTGACCAAAGAAGCAGAACTACACATATGAATTTAGGAATCACTGATCATGTGAAGAACTAACCCTCCGATAGTCTCTGGAAGTCATTTTTTCTCTTAATTTGGTTCACAAACTGTATCTACACGATACTCTACAAGGTGCTTCGGGAAAAGCAGAAATTCATAGGACGCTATATTTTTCCTGGAAGAGTTTAAAATTATATTCTGATTAAGCCATAATAAATGGGAGAACCAAAACACCAGACCATGTCTCATACTAATATAATCCCCAAGCAAAATGCAGCCCAAATAAACTAAGTTAAAAAAAAAATGAGTGACTTGTATAGGTTAATCACACTTTACCGATAAAAACTGCAAATGCTAACTGTAATTTTGTTAGTAGGACACAAGAATAAACTTTGTGCAGCGACTAAGTTTCAGTAACAGCCTGCCCCATGGTGTGCCAGAGGACTGCTTTCCAATTTATTTATACATAATAGCAAAGGGGCATCAACAGGTATTAATACATACAAATATCCAAACACATACATGCATTTATTTATTCATTCTCTTTGTCTCTCAAAAGGCTTCAATATCCATACACTTTTTCAAGGAAAAACTTTCCGGGGTAACAGGATTCTTCTGTAGTTCACTAGTGACCACTATTGGACATTCATCTTCCCTCAACTTATATGAAGCGACAGAACTGGTGTATGTGAAAATAATGATGGTAGTCAGAAGGCGGTCCTGAACACACGGAAACACTAAAAACAGGAGCTTGAGAAGACAAAAACGTAGCTGGCCACATCTAGACAAAAAACTTCACAAAAACATGAAGAAAGTGTTTTTTAAATTTTAAATGTTTCACTGTGTTCTGTCGATCTATGTGAAGGGTCTTCAAGCTTGATTTAAAGGCAATCTAGGCATGGGGATAAGAAACTGATGTAGAATGAGCAATTACAGAAAAGTGCCTATGCATGCACATGAACACTCACGGACACGCATGCTGCTGGAACGGGCCACACTCTGCTGTAAATAACGGACTTAACATTCATTCCACAAGCTAATGGTGCTTCTTCCCATCCAAGATAGATCCACTTAGATAATAGTGGAAGAGGGTGCCAGAGGACTGAAGGGAATGGGCTATTGTGTTTGACTAGTTGCCATGTATAAATTAGTACAGAGACGAAAAAGAAATTCAACAGAAAAACACATGTACTTTATTATAATTCCTAGTGTTACTCTTGCAACCCTCACAATAGCAGGCGAAAGAGCTTAAAACTACTTAAAAGAAAGAAAAGGCAAATGCAAATTTGATCAAATGCCTTTCTGACAAGAAGTGATTTGACTTCAAGTATAGATGGACACATATGTCAATGGCCGGTCATGGTTTTTTCCACATTCTTTTTGAGCTTAACAATTGGAACAAAAGAGGGGAAATAAAAATAGGAGAGCAGGATGGGAGGATTGGGAAAGTGGCATTATGTAGCTTAATTTCGCCTGAATATCAAATGAAATCTCCTGATCAGTACTTCTGTCCTATTGTGTCCAGAATATAAGAGAAATCTATGATATATGCTCTGTGCATGAAAATATGGGTGGTAACCTAAAACAGATTCAAGACACAGGAAGCCCATTCTCTCAGAAACACGTTCCAAGGGAAAGCATTTTGACAGAATGGAGGCTGAACAACCTTCAATATTTGTACACACTCAAGAATCAAATCATGCTACAGATGATTCAGCTGTCAATGAAATGAAGTCTATTTTGGTAAGGTAGAAACTGGACTAGCCACTAACTAGACAGGATGTTTTCCAATTAAGTTACAGACCTTTAGAAATTGCCCAAAATAAGCCCAAAAGTAGACAGAATCCTTGCAATGTGTAAAAGAAAAAAAAAAAAAAAGAATGACAACTATAGGAAAAACAAGCCCCTCTATTCAATTTCTCTATTAAGCTTGAAGGTTAAGCTGATGATTCCACACTTCTAGTTCTAAGCCAGGTACAGAGTAGGCTAAAGGTCACCTTCTCTTAAGCCAATAACTAAATTTTGGCTACCATGTTAAAGGGGCAGTTAATGAGGAAGTCTAACAAGTGCTCATGAGATAGTACATATCTTTAATGATTAAGATGCTGCAAAAAGCCTAAATATCTGCAATGAAGAATACAGGCCAAACTGTACCCCTGCTTTCATTATTGCTAAATATTTACAACCACCATCCAAAGCAAACATGTTGTATTCTTTCCATTATTTGACCTTTGGGTTCAAACATAAGCTTATTTTATTATCTGCAAAATGGGTTTAAAAATATCTTATTTGTGCGATTATTGTAAGGATTCATTGTAATGATTTTCAAAGAACTAGGCTAGTGTTTGGCACGTTCAGACACAAAATACACGACAGCTATTATTAATGCTGTTATTGCTTTGCAAAGGGATTTATATAAACACCAGTCAGTTCTTTCTTTTGTAACAAAACTCCCAGATTTCCAATTCATTTAAATGCAGGCATAAAACAAACCTAGGTTTGTTTTTACTTTATCTTCATAATATAATTATTGTAATTTAAACATGATAGATTTTAAGTCCTTCTGAAATAAGGATATACTCCTTTTCATTCCAGGTAAGTCAAATTATATGTTCAAATACATATATGAATATTCAAGATATCAGAGAGGGATATAATGCATTTACCAAATGGATAGCAAAACAATCTATTCCTGAATGGGAAAGTTTTACTCAAGTATAATGAGATCATACTTCCATATGAAAATATGAAAAAAATCTAATGTGTACTGGTAATTTGCTTTATGATGTAATTTAATGGGAAAATAACACACACTTAAAAAAAATCACAAAGAAGGAAAGATGAGACAAACTAATGGTGTATACAAGTAACACATCCCATATGGAAAAAATGAGACACCTTTCATAAATCGCTTGCTCCACAAGTCATAAAGCATACCTAAACATTCTGTTCTTTATATTTTTCAGAATAGCTAAAACTTACAGTCCATTCATGCTTAAAATGTGGTTTGCCTTTAAATTTCTATGAAAAATTAAAAATATATTTCTATATTTATAGCACTTGCACTGCAGCATTATAATTTCTTAGCTACCCTGATGCAAATCCTTAAGAAGTGGGAATATATAAAATATTTAATCTCTTTCTGATTACTCTATGTGATGAATCTTCCTGGAGTTTGAGTTTTTCAATTTGTACCAAATGGCTTGCCTCCCTGCTTCAAAATTACCGTGCAGATCAGATTTGTCATAATCTAATCAGAACAAAACATTCTTTCCCCATCAAGGAATCAATGCAACCTATACATTTGCTACATTTTTACCTGGTTCTCTTCTTGCCTTGTTACCATCTGAGGAAGCTCTGGCATGTTATAAATGTGACAGGGAAAGCTACAATCACATTTGTTTGGATCAGTGTGTGCAAATTTTGGAATCAAACCTTCAGATGAGGCTTACTAAGCTGCCTGCCCAGAACACTCTGGTTTAAAAAAATGTGCATTGCTATTAATATTTTGAGTGTAGATTTATTTTGGACAGTCAATGTTCATTTTCTGCCCATAAAACCAAGTATGAGTCACAACGGAACATTTACTTTGAGTCAAAAAATGCAATGTGTACTGATGTTCAAGAGCAGAGCATCTTATCACTACGACTGTGGTAATCAGCCATACCAAAAGTCATCTTTTTTTTTTCTTTTTTAAAAGTAAATTTGAGATCAAAGACCATAATCCTCAATTCATAAATCCTAGCATTAACTTCTATCCATAAATGACTTGCGGTAATTATGAGCTATAATCTGGGTTGGCTGCAAAGAGGCTCTCATTCCCCTCTTCACCTGGTTCTGTAGTACATGTGCATAGAGGGAAAATAATTCATAAAAGGCAGCACGGGAAAGCTCCGCAAAGCCCATCCTTCAAAAAATTCCAGGAACACCACAGTGAGTGAGTTTGATTTCAGGATGACTGTTATCCAAATTCCAAGCATACACACCACCATGTAGACAGTCCTGAGCTCCCAAACTCCATGCAGTATATCCCAAAGTTCATGTCTCAGTATCAGTGTTACTATATAGCAGTAACCAATTCCAGAAAGTCTTGCGGACTTTATCTTGCTTGGAAGGTTGGGGTTAAAAGTTCTGGAAGGAGTTTTCTCTTTGTAATAGTGTAAATCATTTTAGCTGGAGTTTTAACATAAAGACACACACACACACACCCCCCACACACACCCCAGCACCCAGACTCAGTGGCAATAGCAATGTATTGAAATGAAAAGGCATTTACCAGGAGCAGGAAAGCCAGAAAGAGGAGCAGTGTGCCAGGAGTTGCCCGACGGCAGCATTCCATGCTTGGATCCTTGCCGGAATCCGAATCGGACACTGAATAAGCTGCTAAGTGCTCCTCTGCCTGCTGTCACATCCAGTACTGGTGCTAACACTCCAGTCCTGCCTATCAGCTTCCATCAGCCCCGCTCACATTTCCTGACCGAGGGGTGGGTGGGTGGATGGGTGGGGGGTAAGCTGAATGGAATCTCTCTCGGAGCAGGCAGCCAGCCAATCAGGCTCCTGCTAATCAGACATGCTGAATAACAAAGCCAGGGGGACAGAGAAAGTGTAACAGTGCGAGCAAAAAAGGGGAAAAAGGACGAAAAAGAAAGGCGAGCGAGCAGCACAGCGAGAAGGGAAATGCAAAAAAATGCAAAAGATGCAGAATTGCAAAAGATGAAGCCAAGCACTGTGCTTACCATGGACCTGGTTAGTTCTTTGTGAGATGCATTTCTATTTGCCATTTGCCTGTGCTGATGTCTGTTGCTTTGTAAAGTACAGTAGCTCCCTGTGACTGTGTATTGTTCCATTCAGGAGAGAAATTTAATCCCTGTCAATATATAACATATACCATAAAGGGAAAGAACCATAGACAAAAACCAACTTAATGTGCCCTGTAAACGTGTTCTGTACAACTGTTTTATTTCTCCTCCAGAAAGTTCCTCTTTACTTTCTCTCTTGACTTGGAAAAGAAATACGCTATACATTTTCTGAAGGTTCCTCCCTAAGCCTGAAGAGTGGCATAAGTTATTTTGTGTTATTAAAGACTTAATTTGGAAACAACAACAAAGCAAGTTGCTTCTTTATAAAGTGACAATTTAAGGCATTTAAGATTTACTAATTCTAAAGGCACAATTAAAAATTTAGATCCCCCTCTTTAAAAAGAAACCCTCAACAAAGACCCCAAGATGAGTGGGGCTGAAATTTGGGGTGGAGGAGCAGCCCGATTTTGATGCACTGCCAACTCTCAACTATCTGCTTTAGCCACAGGAGAGAAAGAAAGCATGAATTAAATCCTCAGTTAATCCCCAAACTTTCTTTTAACCAAGTTTCGGCTTCCTCCGCACCTCACCCACATCCTTTATCAGAGCTGCTATAGGGCAGAAAAGGCTGAACTGAGTTTTACCTCATTTTTCCATCCACTATTGCAAGAGGGTTGGACAGGATGACCTTGGAGGCCAGTCCAGCCCTGAAGGAAGAGCTAATGAGCAGTGAAATGACGACAAGGCCGGCAACAGCAACGAGAAGGTCAGGAAGCTTCTGAAGCTGCTTAATCCACCAGCAAGCGAGATTTGACTCTACCAGAGGAAGGTTTTATTACAGTTTTAGAAAAGTGTCAAGTGTCAAACAAGGATGTATTTCCCCTTATCTACAAAGGAAATCATTGAGTTTTGAAAGAACAAAATAGAAGCCTTGGCCTTACATTGCCATAGGTGTGTCACCAGGATGTTTTCCCTTTACAGATCTCCTGATAGATCAGAAATATATGCCGTGGAGGTACAAGGCATTTAGAATTAATGTTCTTTCCTTTCGTTATTAAAAAAATACTGACAAGAGGTATGAAACTCACAGATATGGAGAACCCGATCAAACCATAATGGGCATGTGAATACAGGCAGGTCTGCCTATATATATACCTGCTGTGGCTGCTTTTCAAAAAGGTGAAGAAAAGCAGGTTGTTCAACTTCAGATTACCTACTTCGTATGGTATACCAATTAAAGAGAGAGAAACTTTAAAAATCCTATTTTCAAGCTGTTAGGAAAGTCAAGGTCATACAAAGATTCACCTTTGTTCTTAGTCCTAAGTATGTGGACCTAGAAAAATGGATAGTACAAATCCATAACAAAGAGGGCCTATTCTTGAAATATGCTTTTCCCTTTCAGAAAGATTAGTTTTACAAATCTCTCAAAAACTAGCTAATGCTGTAAGCTAAAGAGTATTCAAAGTAGATATAAAAATGCTTAACTGTCTCTCCACTATTGTTTTTATCTGAAATCCTCATCACATTAAAGAAAGGTGATTGATTGAAATAAACTTTCATTCATAAAGCTACATTACATGTGTCTCTCTGTTACACACCAGAGCTTTCTGCTAAAGGATTTATTTTTTTCCCTCCTATCACAGTCATTAACTGAAGAGTTTCAACTAGTTCTATTAATGGAACATTTTACCTAATACCACCTCCTCCCTCTTCACACATAAACCCTGCTCATTAAGCATATCCAAAGGGAAGAACAGGTAATGGGAGAAGGAATAGTAGCACCAATGCTAATGACAAGATTCTATTTGTAGAGAAATAGAAAAAAAAAAAATCGGCACGGTCAGAAAATAACTGGTAACCACTTATATGCTAGACAAGATTCCTTTCTGCTTTGCAAATAAATACTGCTTAGGTATTTTGAGTCAGAAATGTCTGCCCTGGAGTTTTGATGGGCATGGTAATGTATAGCAAAGATGGTCACCTCAGTGAAGTCGCCGGATAATACACCATTTTAAAGTCAAGGCCTCAATCATCTACTGAATGCCTGGAGGATGCCCACCACACTGTTTCATGCTTCTGATTCCTCACAGCATTTTCTTTCTTGTTGGGAATACCCAGAGAAAGGAGGAAAAGCAATTGCACATCCAGAGTTACACAGTGCGGGGGAAATTACAAATTTACTATCACTTCAGCAAAAGGACAACAAAATCAAGTCGGGTTAAGGTGATGGGGGAAAGTTTTGGTAATGAGCTAATTTTGATAATGGCCAAAATTTATGTGCTATTTTTATGGCTTACAAAATGACTATACATCTACAATCTCATTTGACCTTTATGACTACTTTTAAAAATAAAGTAATCACCCCCATTTTATATACATGGAAACTGAGGCTCAAAAAAGTTAACTGACTAGACTGATGCCTCACTGGCTAGAACTGGCCATTGAGCCACGGTTCACCGACTCTAAATCCACCCTCATCTCATTTTCATATAGAGGCATTTATATCTATATATGATGTGTACACACACATATATTCAGATGTTGGCAGTGATGTGGTTGAAGGGGGATGTTTCTAGGAACAGGAGAGCAGCAGATGTAGGCTACCAGGGTTTACTATGGGTATATGTTACCTGACCATGGAAAGTATCTTATTTTAGCCTCCAGCTTCTATGGCTCTCAACTTTCTCATTTCTAAAACTTTTTCAGCACCTAGGAAAAATAACATAAACTTGAGGCAGTCTAGATCCATACAAATGGCAGCTGGAGAAAGGCCCTTTATGGCATCTGAGCAGGGCGTTGGCCGAGTTCCTTTTTTCCTCTTCAGGTATCTAAATTAAAGCCGTCTGCAAGTGTGTGAGCAGAAGCACTAGCAGAAGCCACGGCAGCCGAATAATACTGGCTACTGGCTTCATGCACAACGTATTAGGTGAAATGAAAGCAGAGGCAAGAGAGAGAGTGTCAGGGCTGTCTGAAGCGTCATTCCAAACGGTATGGATTTAACAATACTTAATTTAAAAAACACCAGCTTGGACAGAAGCAAGCTGTTAACATTCAGTATGCTTTATGGCAGGAAAGAGTGAGCTAAACTTTCGGTATTTCTCTCCCTGGGGAGAATTCGTTACAAGTCTTGCTCTGGAGCCACCTGTCTCTTTCTTCAGGTTGAGCCTCTTTGCTTGGCTCTTCAGCTGCAGAAACCAGTGTATAGAGGACACAGGGTCTCCTGGAAAGAACTCAGGGCTGGGAGGATTTCAAGAGCTGGGCAAGGCCTAATCTCCCCTCTTTAAGGAGGTGGTTATGGCAGCATCTGAGCCTTGTTTTCCTCACAGGGATGCAGTGAAGTTCAATTTCCCTGGCTAATTCTGAAAAATAAAGTAAGGGTGAACAAGATAAAAATATAGGAAGCAGACTGCTATTCTCAAGGGAAGAACTGGAACGTGAGCATTACTCTGCAACTTGCCAACTCACCTAGAATCCATTTAACACCAAAGCCATTAGAGCATTCATTGTAGTTTTCAAATCACCTTTCACACATGATCTAATGTGATATGAACAGAAACTCTAGGACGTAGAGAGTGATTATTATCCCAAATCTGCAGATACGAAATCAGTGCTCTTACATAGAAAGTAGGTTCAGCAAAGTTATTAGCAGGCAGGAAATTTGGGACTCTATCAAAGGCTGTTTGACTTTCCCCAGGACTGCCATCTGAGATGTTGACAGAGGAAAATAGCTACGTATTGAGAGTCTTTCATGTGTAGGTGCTTTTCTAAATATTTTGTATTTATTATTTCATGTGGTCCTTAACAACAACTCTATGGGTTAGGTATATTTATTAACCTCATATAGGTGTTTTTAATGGTGGATTAGCAGCCAGCTTCATCCCAACCATGCCTGAAGTCCAGAAACATTTCCTAGACTCCCTTGCAGCTAGGGTACTGGATGGAATTGAGATCTGGCCACTCTGAAGTACTACACAGATTTGGAAGGAGAAAGTAAGGCAGAGGCTACTACACTTTGCTCTCTCTGCTTGTAAAAATGGCTACAGAGCAATAAGGTTTTTCTTGTAACTATGCTAACCAGTCACTATTTTTGCAGGTGTCAAGAGGCAGGCATGGGATATGCATTTATTAGCTGAATCAGGGAAGGTGGGCGTGGCTCCTGCAGCTCTTGATATTTCATTCAGCTTTTCCATTCAGCAGATGACTTCCTGGCTATGGAAGAGGCAGCTAACACATCACTCCCACGGTGATGTGTTTCTATAAAGCAGCACTGGAATCTTCAGAAAGCTCAAATTAGAGTCTTTTTCTTTGGTAATTCAAATGTGTGTTATTTAACATCCGGTAACATATCACTTTCTGCTTAAATTAGCAAGAATAAACTCTGTTCTTTGCAACAGAGTCCTGACTGATATATCCCCTCTAACAGAGAGCACTGAGGCATACAGAGGTAAAGAACTTGCCCAAATTGTATTTTCAGAAAGGGCAAAGATCTGAACCCAAGCAATCTGTGTTCATAACCATGAAGCTATACTGCCTCTTAGTAGAGCAAAAGGCCATGAGAATTCAGATAAGGGACATGTCATTGCATATTTAAGGACTCAGTGAGGAGTTTGGTAGAGGAAAATGGAAATTGAAAAAGGCTTTGAGATGTACACAGACATTTAGGTGATGAAAATAAACTAGGGAAAGGCTTTACAGCTGCAGAGAACAGAGTAAGCAGAGAGAAAGTAGAAAAGGTAAGACTCCTGCTTTTACTCAGTCTGATTCACTACTGCAGGTTGTCTAATGGGCAAAAATTATGATTTTAGATTCTTTGTCCCACGGTCTTCCTCTCTTTCCCTGCAAAGTGTCTAGCATGGCATGTTACTTATGTGACGAACTCAACAATTGTAAAATTTGATCTGATTCATCTCCAGCTGACTGAAGCCCCAAGGGCCTCAGCTTATGGTTCTTCCTCTAAGGCTTCATTCAGGGCTTCTCATACTGTAGGTGCTTGATTAAAATCTCTGACCCCAGACAGTAGCAGAAAGGAATTCTGGAGGCTGTTTGGTATCATGGAAAGAACTCAGTTTTTGGAGCCAGACAGTTCAAATCTTAGCTATTGCATTTATTACTTGAAGGATTTTAAGGAAATAAATTGCTGAAACTTTAAGCTTAGGGTTTGTTTTGTTTGCTTGCTTGCTCTGTTTTAAGCTTTTGAACAATGAGAGTTATGTTCACCACCACTGGGCAGTTTTGGGCAGTAGAGTGAGAGGTCTGTAGAGTGTCCAGCTCAGAGCCTGACACAAGTAGGAGGCTTGTATTGATATAGTACAACTGATTTATTATATAAATATGTATGTAAGTATATAAGAAGTTGTATTGGTACAATACAACTGATTTCTTATATAAATTATATAAACATATATAATATACTTATATAATTTATATACTTACATATATAAGTATATAAGAACTTACCCAATAGCTACTTATATACTTATATATATTATATAAGTATATATAATTTATATAATATATATTATAATATATAATTATATTATATAGTACATATAATTAATATGTATAATTTATATAAGTATAAATTATATAAATTATATAAGTATATAAGAATTTATCCAGTAATTACTTATATACTTATATAATATATATAATGATTTATATAATAAATCATTATATAAGTTATAATTATATATAAATTATTTATTATATAAATTATATATATTATATAAGTGTATATAAGTATATAAATAGCTACTGGACATGTCTCTCAATTTTTCTGCATTTGAAAGTTCTAATGAAACTCTGGGAAAAATATTATAATAATTTAGATTCAAATTCCAAGACACTTGCCCCCAAAACAAAACAAAATAGAACAGAACTTGTAGCAGAGCACTGAGCTGACCAGGAGGGTAGACTTGTTCACCACCCTCAAACCTGTGGTCCTTGTTCTTCTTTGTTCTACACTGCTGAATTTATGGCACAGATCTCAGAGGTTACTGAATTACATTCAACAAACACCTACCGAGCACCTACTGTATGCAATGCACAATGCTACAGAGAATCCTGGCAATGAATAAACTGTCTTTTGTAGCCTTTCTGACATAGAGAAAATTATCGTTTTAATTGTTGAGGTTTGAATTATGGTTGTAATATTCATACAGTAAACCCAAGTGTAATACATAAATCCAAGGCCCCTGATTCCTAGTTCAGTTCTATTTCCATGACATCATCCTCCACAGATAAAACAATTATACCAGAGCCAGACAATAAGGTGAAGAGCTGTTAACAGATTTATAGACAATATAGAGAGAGTGGGATTGAAATACAAAAGCCAAATTCCTCAGCCTGGCATTCAAGGACCTCGCTGATCTGCTTCCAGTCCCAGGATAACAGAGAGCCATGTTCCAGCTAGATTGAAATACCTGATATTACCCAAATATTCCAATCCCTTTGGTTACTGTATATTTGTTCGTCTTGTCCCTTCTGCCTGGAAGGTCCATCCTCCTATCTCTGCCTTGCTAAAATCTATATATTTTACTCTTTAAGACATAGCTCAAATGTCTGCTCCTCCACAAAGCCTTCTCCTAACTGTGGTTTTTAAAAAACTTTTTCCTCTTGCTCATTTATTTGCTGAAATATTAACTTTTTCAATATATTTGAATATTTTCTTTATATATCATAGATATTAGACATCCTTTTATTGGAAAATGTCTTCTTTATTATTAACATTATTAGTTTTACTAGTTTTTTTATTGTGCAGAAGTTTTAAACCTGTCAAAGAGTTACTGATCATTTTCATTTCTGATTTCTTCCAATGTTTCAAGCTTTAAGAATTATTTTTCTCTGTGGTAGCAAATGTTTTTCTGTTGTTTTAATTTGGCATTTAATACTTGTTTAACCAATCTAAATAGCAAATAAAAATAGCTCCTTTTTCTGTACCTTCACAAAATGGCTCTAGTATATCTATAGGTGCTTTTCACCTGCTACCCTGTTTGTAAGTAGAGTGTGCCGGTCTCCTTCAACTACATTGTAAATTCTGTGAAAGCAAATATCAAGAATACCAATTCTTGTATTCACAGAACAGAGCACAGCACCCTTTATATAACTGCTTTTAGATAAATGTTTGTTAAATTACCATGTGAGTTATTAACATATGATATGTTCACAGAAATAAAACTAGAGAAAAAGAAAAGCAAGAGGAGAATTACAAAAGAAAAGATGGTTTCTGAAAACCAAGGAAAATGTAGATCAAAATTGAAATAAAATTTGAATTTCAGAAAAGCAATTAAACCATGGAAAATCAGTGTACTCTTCCCCTAAAATATAACAGATTACCGTGTGTCCTTCAGTTTTATTCCTGTTCTATGTTGGTTATATTTGCTAACACAAACTAGATAAATAGTTTCTCTGTTAAAAAGATTATCTTATATCATAATTACATATACTGTCACAAAGAAATACCAAATTCTTTCAAATAGATATTTAAAAAGAACCTATAACTAAAGTTAATTTGTAGTATAGTTCATTTTAAAACATTTATTTTAAATAATTGACAAATTAAAATTGCATATATTTATGGTGTGTAACATTATGTTTTAAACATTGTGGAATGGCTAAATTAACCAAATTAACATATGCATTACCTCACATACTTATGATTTTTCTGTGGTTTATTTTTAATGTTTCCAGAGACAACATGGAATTTGTGCATAAAACTGGATATTTCATCTTTCCTGCTTGAAACTATGGTGGGCCTTTCTTTTGAAAAGACTTTCATGAAGGAATTTGGAACTTGTTGAGTATGGAAAAAAGCAAATAAAATATAAGATAACAGCATGGAGAATTGAATACAAGCCAACAACAATAAGACCATTACCGTCTATGCAGGTGTCCTGAGGGAAAAATATGGGGTGCAACTGAGAGAAACACAGGTTTAAAAAAATCCAGCATTTTCTCTCTTTTTACATGTGCAGTTTCCTAGAAGTTAAAATCCCAAACTGGTTTCCCAGCACAGAAACTGGCAGTTATGGAAAGCACAGGGTCCCAAGGATAAAGAGGGAAACTTCTTCCTTAAACACCCATTTGGATTTTAAGGGGACGAAAGGTTGTTTTTTTTTTTTTTTTTAAAAAAAAAAATAAGATTTCTGACATTGGGTACAGTGGCTCACTCCTGTAACCCCAGAACTTTGGGAGACTGAGGCAGGCAGATAACCTGAGGTCAGGAGTTCCAGACCAGCCTGGCCAACATGGTGAAACCCCTTCTCTACTAAAAATACAAAATCAGCTGGGCATAGTAAATCATTATGGGCACGCACCTATAATCCCAGCTATTCCAGAGGCTAAGGCAGGAGAATTGCTTGAAACTGGGAAGTGGAGGTTGCAGTGAGCCGAGATTGTGACACTGCACCCTAGCCTGGGCAACAGAGCAAGACTCTGCCTCAAAAAAAAAGAAAAAAAGATATCTGTGGCAGACAGGTTAGCCATGTTAGTTGTCTCTCAATATCTATTCTTCTTTTTCTGCTTTGGTAACAAACATACATGGCCACCCAGAACAGTAACTTTTCTTAGCCTCTCTTGGCTGTTATGCGTGACCACGTGACACAGTTCTCACTAAGGAGATGTAGTGGAACAAATGGATGCAATTCCAAGTAACACTCATAAAGAGAGGGGCACACCCTGTCCCCCTTTTTCCTTTTTTTTTTTTTTTTGTGTGTGTATGTGGCTGGAATGATGATGTGAAGGCTGGAGCAGCCACCTTGGACCATGAAGTAACCTTGAAGAGGATATTATGCACCAGAAAAAGGACCCTGGCTTCCTAAAACTCTGGGATACCACAATGCTTCTGGATTGCCCACCTCCAGACTTTTATGAGAAACAAAAGTGTGTTTATTACAACATGCATGTTTAAAATACAGGGTGACAGGACTATGCAAAACTATTAAAAGAATGGGCCGAGCTATATATCCTTCTAGCAGCAGAGACCATCAGAAAGCCACAAGCTTGGCCAGTTTCATACTGGTCTCTTGCAGAATTGCCTTGTAAAGTCTATGAATAAACATTATGCCCCTGGCTTTGATTAATGGCCAGTATAGAAACATGTATATGTGGCATAATCCTGAGATTCTGTAAACTTATCTAGGATAATTTTGCTTTTGTATCTTAATTATATAAGAATCCCTATGTCGACTTCTTAGAACATAATGATCAAATATAAGAAATATGTTGTGGATGATTATGTTTTATCTTTAAGATAATGAGAGCTATGTCACTCTGAGATGCCATTTTTTCTTTGGCTACTAGGAAGCTCAGAAGAAAAATCTGTGCTCAATGGCTAAATCTTTTCTCAGTCTAAAATTAAAATAAAATCTCCTCACCATTTCTCTCTTGATTTTCATTTTCTTACTCCATGTAAATGATTCTATCTTTTTTGCACTGCAATTTTACGCTAAGCAAGCTTTCTATTTGTTTGGAAGAAGGGGTGTGGTAAACATACAAATTAAAACACTGTAATTATGAAAAGGAAATTGGTAATGAACCACTCTTAAGGAGAAGGCAGATCAGAGTGATTTAATGGTGATGAAAACATTGTTTTTCCCTGTCCTTATGGTGATTAATTTTTATTGACTGTCATCACTCATTAAATTTTCCAAGGCTATCCTACACTTTCGAAGTTTCACATTTTGTTAAGAACACTTACTCAGAGTAGATTACCCTTTCTTATATATCACTTCCATTGGAATAATGTCATTCAAATGGAAAAATTATTTTCCTCCTATTCAAATTTAATATCTTAATAAAATTCATATAACACTACAAAATACAAGAGTGTAAGTTGTACAGCAATACTACAATTTCATTTGTACAGGTTTTTATTAATCAAATATCTGAGTTAGCTGAAATAATTTTCTCTTCAAGCCACTACTACATATGACACAAAAGGAAGAGGGGTTATATTATAGATATCCTGAGTCATGACGTGACAATGTACTGTTTGCCTCCAGCTTGAGGCTCTGGCTCAGAACCTCAAGTAAATGAAGCTTGGGATGATGAGGGCACGCTTACTATACACTGTTTAGTCTCAAGAAGGCTGGAAAGAGAGTTAATGAATCCACAGTAAATCATTATCACCATCTAAAGAAAGAACAACAGCAACAACACTCACACATGAGACTGTAAGCCTTGAAGGCAGTGCATACTGTTCATTCATTCCCCACCTCTGGCATAGCGGCATGGCACATAACAAGAGTCTAGCGAACATTTGCTGAATGTATTAATTTTAAAAGCACAAGTTTGATTCCTCCAAAAA